ACGTGAGCAGAGAGAGAGAGACGTGAGCAGAGAGAGAGAGAGAGAGGTGAGCAGAGAGAGATGCGAGCAGAGAGAGAGAGACGTGAGCAGAGAGAGAGGGACACGAGCAGAGAGAGAGACGTGAGCAGAGAGAGAGAGACGTGAGCAGAGAGAGAGACGTGAGCAGAGAGAGAGACGTGAGCAGAGAGAGAGAGACGCGAGCAGAGAGAGAGACGCGAGCAGAGAGAGAGAGACGCGAGCAGAGAGAGAGAGACGCGAGCAGAGAGAGAGAGAGACGCGAGCAGAGAGAGAGAGACGCGAGCAGAGAGAGAGAGACGCGAGCAGAGAGAGAGAGACGCGAGCAGAGAGAGAGAGACGCGAGCAGAGAGAGAGAGACGCGAGCAGAGAGAGAGAGACGTGAGTCCGCGTGTCTATGGTCCGCGCTCGGAGCCCAGACGGCAGTGCGTTCACTGAGCGGAGGATGTAACGTAACGTTCGGTTTATCAAAACATATCACAATATTTAATGTATATTAAATAAATTCTAGTGAATTTCACCTAGATTTTTTCAGACATTAAAGACAAGATGTTATATAATAATTGTTTAATGAAAAAACAATTTTGCCACAAGCAACCAAAAGATGTGCCTCAGACAAGAATCGAACCTGGGTTCTCCAGGTCCCAGTCTTTGATGCTAACCATTGGGCCAACATAGCACCTTTGGGCTAGACAGGTTTGCACGCAGTCTTATACCTGAGCGTCTAAGTCACTGGCAGAGCTAAAGTGGACTTAGCCTGCCACCTTGTGGCGATAAGATGTACTATTTTTCACGCAGCTGCGTGATTCCCGAGAAGCGTGAATGAAGACGACAAAACGGAATGGGACCTACTGTCATGTGGGAACTATGTATAATGTCACGCCAGCACAAACCTGCGCTACTTATTCTTCAAAATGACGTATATCTCAATGCACTGCATGGATATGGATTGCATTTTTGTAAGGAATACGAAAATAAAGTCAGTTAGTGCAGCTTTAAAATTCAGTTTTTGAATATTTTGAAATTTTTATCTCATTGAAATTTGTAAACTGAATATTTTTGTCTTTGCATTTCAGTCACTAAAAATTCAAACGGGCTTTTTCAGGGTTAAACATTTCAAATGGAAAAGAAGCGGGTCGCGGACCACAAAGCAGGTCCCCATCAGCACAGAAGACACCTTCTTAAGTTAATAAAAAAATAAAAACGTAATAGAATTTGAAAGTACCACCACAAGCAATTTTACAGCTGAAATACTGAAAATGCCTCTGCTTTAGATTTTTAAGATGGAAAAGACTAGAGTTCTCCAGTTTCCTCCATGACATTATGATAGTAGGAATAGTTTAGTGAAAAAGATGAGGACTATTTTTTTTTTTTTTATTGTGTGTGTCTTTTTAAATTATTGTAATTTCATCTAATAATCTATTTGATGCATAATTTAAAGTAAATTAGTAAATTTACCAGACTCCACCCATTTCTTTCCAATCTTCAGGTTAAAACTGGACTCGCCTAAGGAAATGGGTGGAGTCTGGTGAGCTGCTCAGGTTGGAACTAAAACCTGAGGCCACACCTGCTCTTTGAGGACCAATTTGGACCACCCTCTTCTAATTATTTTCTCATAACTATGTATAGAAGTTATAACATTAATCAAAGCACACATGATGTCGACCAGTAGAAAGGACTTTCCGACATAAGAATAATATGATGTGTTTCTTGGTTCCCTGCTGATGTTGTCTACATTGTGGTTACTATGTCCGAGCTGTTCTTTGTAAACTGGTCTCCTGTGAACGTGTCTTCCCTGTTACAATCCCACAGTTCCTTGTAGCGATGTGTATGCCTGGGGTGGCTCTTGGCTCCGTAATGTCCACACTTGTCTCAGAGGAAGTCCATTGGTCTACCTGCTTGTGCTGTGGTTTAGTAATGGGTATGGTCGTACGTTTATGCCCCCGGGATCCTGTTCTCTTTCTTGTAACTGCTCCCTTAACTACAGGACAGCCCATAATTATAGTCAGCCACATATCCAGGAGCAGATGGCCCACAGTGATCCAGGGATGGCTCTATCTGTCAGCTTCAGCAGGCTGCAAATCCTCTGCTCCGTGTGTGTATGTCCATTTTAAGACAAAAGCCTAGAGCCCCAACTGGGCATAGGGCCTGTTCAGTCCCTCCAGGATTTTAATCAGTGCAACCTTGCAACTTCTTCTAAACTTAGCAACTTTTCTACAACTTTACATAAACAAGTAGTATGTGACAGTTTTATCCCTTGTTGCTGCGGACGGCCAGAAAGTCTGTCTGTGGTCCGGGTGGAAAGAGGTGACAAGCTGTGCAGTTCAGGAAGAATGCATACAGCGGCAAACAAAATATTGGCCAAGGTTCGGTACCCAAATCGGTACCCGGCTTCATCAGAGCGGGGGTAAACCTTTTTGTTGGAAGTGCAACGTTGATATTAACTACAAGCAAAAGTTGTCAAAAGCCAAAAAATATTCTTGTGCAAAATGTATCAAGAGCCTGGGCAAAATGAATGGGATCCTATGGAAGGGATGGTGACCTCAACTGTTGCGTCAGTCCGCTTGAGCACGTTAAAACAATGCATCGTTTGTAGTATAGGTTGCCATAGAACGTAGGCCTAACATTGCCCCAACGTATATCCTATTGCTGTCCCAACAAGTAATGTCTACTCACAAATGTTTTCCCAAAATTACGTTAATTCCGTTGACTAAAGAAGAATGTCATGACAACGCCACTGTCAAGTCAATTTACATTGAGCCTTTTGGAGCCCATTTGGCGTCAAATTTGTCAACTCAAGAAGTTTGCAGACTCCTGAGTGTTATGTCATAGTGATATCATATGTAAGAGAGTGAGTTTATTTGCAGAGTGATTCTCTAAATCAGGGGTGTCAAACTCATTTTGGTCTGGAAGCTAAATGCAACCTTATTGGAGCTCAACTGGGCTGGACCAGAAGATTCTCTACACAAATACCCCAAAACAGTAGAAAGTCTAACTTTTTGTGCACATAAACACATTTACTTAAAACTTCCTTTAAAACACTGTCCTTTAATACTCAGTTTTAACTGTACATCTGTTACTAACTTAAATGTAGTTTTTCATAGTGTAAATTATGTAATGTATTTACAATATTACATTGTAAATGGCATTTAACAATATTTATATTAATATGTCTAAGCTAGCTTTGAGTGGAGCTTTGTTTTATTAAGGCTCAATACAGAGAAAACTTGCTAAAAAAGGTACAGTAAAAAAAAAGCACTTAAACACAGCACCTCAGCTTCAGTGTGGTTAGGAAGTCCACTGTTAAGTTATTGTCACAGAGAAAGCATCAAACTAACCATGATACATTCAGTTGAAATGAACAAAACAACTTACATAACGTGATCCATTCTTAACGACTGCAGCAGTGTCTCTAAAATACAATGAAATGTCCAAAAATCTTTTTATTGCCTTTTTATTGTACATGATATCCTGCACCGACTACATTATTAACCTTTAACATGTTTGCATACTTCTGTCACAATCTGAGTGATTCCATCTATGCCAAATGTGAGATGAAAATGTATCTAGTGTAAGATCAATAAAGTCTATCTTTGGATAACTTTTTATTTTTATTTGGAGAAACTGTAGAAATTACACAGAGTACCTTTTTGAGTATTTTCAAAAGACAGATGAAAACTAAAAGTTAACATTTCTTGCCAAAATTAACTTTGCCTGCACTTGCTTCCTTGAGTTGCTCAAGAGTATCCTCCGTACAGCAGGGTGCAAGATGGACGTGTGAGCCAGGGGCAGCTATGATTTGGTCTGGTGGCTTCCCTTCCCTGTAATTTTTTCCCTCGATTTTTGTTTTGTATTTAAGGTCTTCATAGCTATACTAACGCCACTCTTGTTTACAAACAGCACACTGACCTTCCTTAAACCTTTGTCTCAAAAATAGTCACCGTAATTGTAAACACAATCATTGGCAAGAAAGCGCAAATGAAGCAATATTTACCGTAGTGAAATTACTAGACAACACAACTCCCCACAGTTTCGTTGTTCTTTTTAAAAGCAGTTTCTTGGTGTGTAATGGTTCGTATCCTCATTAATGCCGACTGTTAACCAGGACCCACTGGGACTTTTTACAGGATTCCTCTTGTACTCCTGTTGTTGTGCAGTCCCGTTACACTGTCTTGAAAATGACAAAATAACGGTAAATAAACTAATTTGCCGCACTGTTTCAGTTGAGCGTAAAGATCTTAATTTTGAGAATAAATTCCTATGCACTGTTTTCCCATTATATTGACACTAGTCTCTTGTCAATTACGAGTTAAGGGGGAAAGGTAATTTCTTATGTAATTCTGTCTGACATTATGATAAAGCTGGTTTGTCAATATTCTATTTCAAAAATGTGTTTTATTTGTGCCAACTGAAAGAGCAATAGACCACCTAAAGCTCTCAGCATCTTCTTTTGCATATTCTTGGAATCACTTTTTTGATGCTTTCGTCTGAGAGCTGAGTGAGAGTGGTCCTTTTTTTATTCATGTCAAAACCTTTTGAGAGTGAGGAACTAGTTACCTATATTTTATTACAAAGTTTGTTGGTGGTTTTCAAGTTGACTACTGTGTGCTTGTAAATTCTTTCAAAGTCTTTAAAACAAAGTGCTCTGTTGGAGGGCTGCACATATGTTCAGAGAAACATGAACAAAAATATCCAAGACGCGTTTCCTTTTTTTTTTTTGATAAATATGAAAACGTCTTTGATGAAACATAGCTAAACCATTTAGAATTGGTACCAATTTTGCACACTTCATTTCAGTGCGTGCAGTGTACAAACAGACGCACCAGTGTGCGTCGCTTATATAGGGTGGTGCTTTGTTAGGTGTGCACTTATCAAACCGATTTCATTCATGTATTTACAAGGCATATTAGAAGAGTTTTTTGCAAAGCCGGCGGATTCAACAATGACTAACTGTTCCCTGTTTTGTGCTCTGCTCTGCTCTTCAGGACAATAATGTAGATGCAATACACCCTGGTTATGGCTTCCTATCGGAGCGTTCAGACTTCGCCCAGGCCTGTGCTGATGCTGACGTCATGTTTGTCGGACCATCCCCAGAGACTGTGCGGAAAATGGGGGATAAAGTAGAGGCTCGATCCCTGGCCATCAGTGCAGGTATGGACTGCTTTCCCAGCTGCTAAAACTGATGAATGGGAATCTCAATGTCTTAAATATGTTTTGTCTGAACCAGGGGTTTCAAACTGGTTCCAGAGAGGGCTAGTGTAGCTGCAGGTTTCAATTCAAATCAAGCCTAAGCCCACCAGACTCAACCCATTTCCTCAAGTGAGTCCAGTAGGGATGCACTTTCGGTATTGGGTATCGGGTCAATATCATAGGCTTGTACCCGTACTCGTACTCATACCATAGGACCCGATCCGGGGAACAATTTAAATTTTGCGTCAAAGTCTGCAGAAAGAAAGTGTTTGCTGCTAGCTTAGCTAGCTTAGCTGCAGGCCAGCAGAATTTGGATGTTGGCCGTATGGCAGTCTTTTAAAGTAAATGAGTGACAAGAGTAAAGTGGACTGTACGTTGTGTAGGGCAAAACTGTCACGAGGTAGGTCCAAAACAAACGCGTTGACTGTTAAAACAATTGCTTACATGTTTCATTGTTAAAGCATTTTCCTATTGTTGAAATGAGAAATAAAACATTTAGAATATCAGTTGTATTAGTTTTACGAATTCCCTGGAATAACACAATGCAGTACTCTTATCGGTACTCTGTATCGGCAAGTACTAATGTACTTGTAACGGTTTTGAAAAGAAGTGGTATCGGCGCATGCCTAGAGTCCAGTCTTAACCTGAAGATTTGAGGAAATGGAGTCGGGTGTGCTCCTGCTTGGTTTAAATTAAAACCTGAAGCCATATCAACTCTTTATGGAACCAGTTTGACAACCCTTTTGTGGTCGGTTGTAGTTCCTTTATGTATCTCTATGGGTGTGCATGAAGAATGCCTGGTCTTGTTGATGACTATTCCATGTTATAATTTATTAACGCTGGATGTGTGCAGGTGTGCCGGTGGTGCCAGGAACAAACTCTCCCATCTCTAGTCTGCGAGAGGCCCAGGTCTTTGCCCAGACATACGGGTTCCCCATCATCTTCAAAGCGGCGTACGGAGGTGGAGGCAGAGGCATGAGGGTGGTCCGTGAGATAGAGGTCAGTTTGGATGGTTGACCATATTGGAGGGACTATAGACCGTAAATAGATTTCCAATGCTAACCTGCTATCTCAGAGTACTTTGTCTTGAATTTATAAATCCTTGTGCATTGGCTTATGCACAGTGCAGGGCACTTTTATTTTAATGTATTTATTTTAAGGATTTTGGCCCCTTATTTAATACTCTGCCCCATTTTTAACATTAATGAAGATTGGTTTGTGAACAATCTTCTCAATCTCATGCTTCTGCTTGCAATGTTTAGTTTTCTAATACAAATATCAAAACATTGTAATGGAGAAAAAAGCATTATTACAAAAAAAAATCTGCTTTTTATCTGATAAAATTATATTAATCTAAATATATGTTTTAGCTCGCCCCTAATGCACAGGGCTACATTTCAGAATGGATGTCATATTTCTATCCATATTTTGATCAGCGTTTGTTTAATCTTTTATATCTCCTCCTTTTGAGACAGTTGTCTGCTTTGTCCCCTACATCTCCTCATGTTTATGTACAGCTGTGATGATAGCCTGTCATGTGGGCTCTTCACTTTAATGACAATCTTTGGAAATGTGTAGACGCAGCCATTTTATACATGAACCGTTTATGTCCAAGGACGACCCGCTCCTACAGTCTGCCATAGTTACGTTTGCAACTGCTTCAAATACAATATCATGGAAACTTTAGTGTTTTAATGAATACCAAGAATAATGCCTTGGTTTTATATGGTGCTTTTCTGGTTGCTCAGGCACTTCAGAGAGTTTTTCATTCTGATTGAGATTCAATTTTTTTGCCATTTGTAATAAAACCACTCTGGAATAACTGTTTAAGACTTACCCAGGGTACACCAGACAGAGCAGATGGTCCACACCAGAGCGCTTGCCACTAATATGACTTCAGCCATGGCTGCCCTAGGGAGACTGATAGAAGTGAGGCTACTAATGGGTGCCATCAGCCCCTCCGACTTGTTCTCTACTTGATGACTTGCACAACAGCAGTTTGGTACTTAACAGCCACTGCCACCCAACTGTGACATCTGGCGTTCCCAGAGGTCTCCCATCATGGTACTAACCAAGTCCTGTCCTGCTTTGTCTTTCTTTCACATGCAAGTGGTGCTTGATTCAGTCACCTGACATTTTTCTGAGTGTAGTAGTGTCAAAGGTTTATGGTTTATAGAAAGACATGACAGCTGACTTCAGACTTAAGAAATCTTGTAGAGCATAGCGACATAAACAACACAAAACATTAACAGACTTTGTATGCATCCATCTTCCGTTGTTTGATGATGTTTAAATGATGGTAATTCTTGTTCACAGGGTTTGACGTGGTTGGGTCTAAAATAAGCAAAATCCATCAACAATGTCCTTAAGAGAAAAATGTGAAGTGACTATGACTCATCGACACCAGGGACTGTCAAATTGTCATAAGTGTTTAGTTCAGTGGTCCCCCCGGTTCAGTGGTCCCCACGATGAGAACATGTTCAACCATGTGGAGCTAGATGCACGTAAAATGGCTGTCCACACATTTGAAACAGAAAAACAGATTGTCAAACGTAGGTGTTACTCAAAATTACTACTGTAACATGACTGAATCTGGAAGTGGCATGCAAGTTTTCCAAAGTTTACCTTTGGAAATGGCTTCCTGCCTCCTCCTCAGTTATCTATATGAATTGGCATTGTTGTGTGGAGACATCTGTGTCAGCAATACATCAGGAAAATGACCTTTCCTGTATTGTTCTCCCGTCTAATTAATTTGTTGTTGACATTTTGCAGTGTTCCAGACAATTCACAGGGGATATAACACTTGCAGATGTAAAGGCTGTAAGAAACGCCAGTGTATCGTTGTGTATTGGTCTAATATGGTGCAGGTTCCTTGCATTGTACAGGCGAGGAGAGGAACGACACAGATTTGGCCACTCCGCCATTGTGTGTTCTGCACAATTCCGTCTAATTTTCCTTGTCTGAAGTAGCCTCGTCGTATAACACCATCGTACAAATTACATTTCTCACTAAGGTCTGGAGGAACTCCATTGAGCTCCGTTAACAGGTGGGAGGGGTTAACTCCTTTTGCAGATTGAAACGATTGGATCCAAGTTTACCTTGACGTATGTAATGCGCCCGAGTGATTTGTTAGCATTTAGCCTAGCCATCTCCTTTGCCGCTAATGGAGCCCGTGGGGAGAAGCGCAACTTGCTCCGCCTTAAATTTATTGATAGTAAAGTTATCTGCTCTGGTTCTATCACATTCTTCACCATTGCCAAACTGCAACCTGCCTATTCGGCGCAAACTCTTGATGACACCCACATCTAACTACAACACCCGCCTCCCACGCTCGCTGATTGGTCGTATTGAATTCCACCAATGTAATCACAAACACAGGGACCAGACACACACGTTACATGCAGGGAATTGATGATTGACCGGAGTGTACGGATGGCAAAGGCCAGGCTGAGTCTGAAGCTGATTTTATTCAAAGCTGGGGTACCTAATTTTCAAATAAAAAAAAAAAATAAGTTATTAGCTCTGAAATAGGTTTTGCACATGACTAGTTTTCATATGCATGCTTAGACAATCAACTCCCTCAGTCCAAAGGGTAACAGACGTGGAGGCAGCTCTAGCTTGCCTTGGCAACCATCTTAGCAACATGTCTGCCCCTCATTGGTCAATATTTATAGCTCTCATCTGGATTCACAAATACAATATACAAATAAAAACCCCAGTATGTTCGAGAGTGTCAAACCACAGATTTTTAAAGCCCAAGATGGTGAGTGTGACACAAATGGTTACTGAGCTACTGTATTGTTCACTTTAAAATGTAGATCAATAGAAGCAAGAGCAACTAGGGGCAAATACTATCTTTATCTTATCAGAAAACATTTATCCTTTACATACTGAGAGCTGAGTCTGTTTTTCACTTAACAGTCGAAAAAGATGATCCAAAGATGAGACAAAGGCCAAAATGCATGTGAAAACGAGTAATAGAACCTAACTGCTTTAATTTTTAAAGTGGGGCACTCCAGCTTTAATAATAGCTTCCTAGATGCAATTTGCTGGTAACTGTGCCCTTTTTGTGGATGTGCAAAATATTTTTCTGTTGTCAAAAATGTATGAAAAATTTTGTTTTTTATTTTCAAAACGCACCAATATTCAGTTCTGCGTAAGTGCACATCCAGGCTGCTCTCTTCCTTTGTGCTGACATGACACGTTTTAGAAAGCATAAAGTGAGTTGTGTTTCAAAGCCCCAGTGACCTGCGCCGACATACTGAAGCGCAGCCCAAACAAATGCAACCCCACAAAGTCTTTGAAAACCCTTGTCTCTCGTCCACGGAAACTAAAAGCAATGATCTGACAGCACCTGCGTTTGTGATTCAGTGAGCACACAAAGTAATGGGAATCATAAAGATCCCATATTTCATTGTTCATTTTTCACAATCAATCCTAAGCTCATGTGTGATTTTTTTCTTTCGGTAATACAGATCAGTCATGTCCCTTTTGTGGAAAAACAACCCCAAACCATGTTTCCACCACCATGATTCAGAGGGTATGGGTTTCTTAGGATGCAACCCTCTATCTTCCCCTTAACGCATTAAGACCTGACACACCTGGTAAAACCGACCTGTTAAACCTGTGGCCGACTTTAGAACCACCCTCTAAAACCTGAAGTTTTAACCAACACCTGTGGCTGTCAATAAGAATGCAGTGTATCATTATAAATCTTCAGTGGAATAATACAAAAAATGTACAACTTCCTCACAGGAAAGGTAATAAAACAACCAAAAATAATGTGAGAAGTTTTTCAATACAATAACTCAAAAAGAGTTTGGCAATAAAGTCGCACAAACTATGTGAAAAAAATAATAACTAACTCAGCCAAAAGTCAAATAATGACTCACAGGGCTCTTTCTTAAGTAAGCAAAATAGAAAACAAGACTGTTTTGGTTTGTTCTGTTTGATTTGTTCACAATATTTTACTTTTGTGCGCAAATAACATGCATTGTCAATGCAAGAAAAAATATAGGTACCTCAGCTTTAATTCAGTGAGTTTTGCCTGTTCTTTGTGAGAAGACATGGGAGAGACTGAGAGAAGCAAGACCCGCACGTGCAACAAGCTGGGGATGTCCTGATCACGTGTTTATGGTTCTGTCTTTGGTCCGCGCTCGGTAAATGACCACGTTACAGTTGCGCGTTCGCTAAGCTGTTGGCAAAGCGGCCACAGTTGCTCCCGAGGTCAGAGCGGAGGATGTGAATCCGGTTCGAGTACGTAACGCAAACAGCCGGCGTGCACATATTTCACCAAAATATTTTCAGCGGGAAAAAGTTGGAATTTGCGGAACTGCAGAAAATTCTCATCCCTGGTTTATCCTGATGCATTTCATTGGTTAAGAGAATTGCTCAATATCAATTTAGCCTGAATGGGTTAAATTGATATTCGTTTTCACCAAAAATCTCTTCTGATTTGACCATGTAATATTTTCTTAGGCCTCTTCTGGATCCGCTAGGGCTGGGCGATTAATAGATTTTAATTCTTAAGTCAAATTTGACGTTCTTTTTTTTAATGAAAATCGTTTCTTTCCCTGACCTTTTCTACAGTGCTAACACGCTAACTGCGGGTGTTGAGCCATTTTGAAAGCTCCCTAATGCTAAGTCTCCCTTCTGTCCTGACCCTCGCTCTCACAGTTTGTGCTGTTGCAATAACACTTCAGACGTTCGAGAATCAGTCTTTATTTAATAGTCAGAACACACCATCATAGACTTGTATCCTGCCGGTCGCTCGGCTCGTACGCCACACTTTTAATTATTTCTCATTCAATCATTTCTCAGTGCTCATGCTTGTTACTCCAAAGCGCGCTCCCGTGTCCGTGGCGCACCCGCCCACACGCACGCACACGTGTCCCACTGAGCTGCTGCACTTTGGGGAAAGACACATCTCACACTTGTTCACGTTTCACTGATACAAACAACGCAATCCGTGCTCGAGTTGTTAGCGCTACAGTAGCCGAATGTACACAAACAGGAAGAGAAACAGAAACTTGACTTGCACAACAAGGTAGTCGCTGAAGTTAGTATTAGCGCCGCCAGCTGGACCGAGCGTTGTACTACAGCACAGTTGCTCTGGCAAGGTTGAAAGAACAAGCCCTTGTGACCACGGGCCGTCTTCACACCCCTGTGGCGACGATCCGGGCCACTTGGCCTAATTCGTTTGTAAAAACCTTTTGTGACCGTGCCTTAATTGTGGAAGTAATTCTGAAAACCCAAGGAGGAGGTTTTTGTTACCGACTTTCCCTGTTATAACGATTGTATTTAGAGTAATCATTAGTTTTAAAAATATGATATTTCATGTAAATAATGCATGTGTTTAATACAATTGATATATTTGCTATGCCCCTTGTTTGTGAGTTATTTTGAAGGTGCATTGTGTCACTGTAAGTCAGGGGTCGGCAACCCGCGGCTCTGGAGCTGCATGCGGCTCTTAAGTGCCCCTCGAGTGGCCCCTGGAGCCTTTTCAAAAATGTCTGAAAATGGAGTGGGAGGGCTATATTTTATTTGCAGTTTGAATGTGGTTTCTGTAGGAGGAAAAACATTCTTAACGTTTTTAAATGCTGTAAAAATGTGCGTAAGTAAAATTCAATTTCAACATTACTGTCAACGTAGTGAGTCATATCCGGTGACGCGGCCCCGCGGCAGGCGGCCGCTGTTGTAAACAAACCGGCATGTTTTGCTTTCAGTCAACGAGGAAGGACTGCCTCATGTTTGCGTTGTAATGAGAAGTTTTGTTCCAACACGACGAACAATGAAGCACAAAATACCGTTCACGGTGATTACGTGAAGGATTCATTCATCAAAAATTCAGAGCACCTACTTTCAGACTTCAAAAACCTCCGCAAAGACGGTGAAAGAAAGGGCCCTTAAGGACATTCATTCAGCTCCAGCTAACTTAAGCCTGTGATGTGATCGATATGAACAGACAGTGCTGTGATGCAGGTACAGTATGTGAACTCTGAGCCGAAAAGCAGATTTATTTACTGTACTTCTCCAATTGCATGAAAGCAAAAAAATGGAAGTCAAAGTTAAAGCAGAGTCATCACATGGTGCGTCATTCTCTCCAGGACACGCTGCAGTGAAAATACACGTTTGATGATCATGAATGCTTATTATGTATTATAGCCTTTACTTTGTCATTTAGATATGAGGCTTATATACAGTAGCTAATACAGCTTGCAGCCTGTGTTGCCTTCATATAAGCCTTATACAAGGCTGTTATTTTTTTGCGGCTTCAGACAGATGTTTTTAGTTTTTTTTGTCAAATTTGGCTCTTTGAACCTTTTGGGTTGCAGACCCCTGCTGTAAGTGATATTATTAGAAAACTGATGAGCTACATTTTCACTGTTTACAATGGCAGGGCCATCTCGTTTACAAGCATGTTTTAAGGCTTATTTCCTATCACACTTATGCTCCATTAGGAAATTTAGATTAAACTGCATAAAGGAAAATCATTTTTTTGTGAGTTTGTTTTGAAATAGAAAAAAATTATCGATTTTAAAATCAAAAATCGGATTTGGAAACTTTAGACGGGCCCGTACTTGAGCTGGCTTCACGACCTTTCGAGCACTGCATTCTCAGATTGAAGTCTGATTTGATGAGTGGTCCAATGTTTTTCACTTTTCTGGCTGAAAAATCTGATGTAAAGATGTGACAGTGAACAAGAATACAGAAATCTGGGATCCGGGAAGTATGGATTTATTTACAAATTACAATTTTTTTTCTGGTTCTTTAATAGGCATCCCAGCTTTGATATTTTTTCAAATGTTTTTTCCCCATTAGCTATCATGTATCATCTTTACTTGACAAGTTATCAAGTTCACAGCAACTTAATATCATATATCCAATAAGTCACTAGTCTGTCAGACGTCAGTTAATTTAGCATATTTGCATAAGTTAAAATATTGAACCTAATTATAGTTTGCTCCCGACGGCTTCATGGTTGCAGCGTGGTTGACAACTCTAGTTGGTCTGTTAGTGAAAGGGCAGTGTGCAGAGGACATTGTGGTCAGTAGAGGGGAGCGGTAGGAGGGCTGCACTCTGGGACATTGTCTGACAAACACAGACTGAGCCAATCTTTGACCCCGTCCTCCTCCCACTGATCCGGTCTGAGTCACGTCCTCAGAGGGCGAGTAAGCGACGTTATGTCCAGTCAGAAATAAAATCCTAAGAGCTGCATAATACTCAAACGGAGCCAATTTAGTTTTGTATATCTATTTAGCATACTTGAGAAAGAGCCCCATGAGTCACTTTTTTAGTTGCGTTGTGCTAAGAGCCCTACCACAAAGATAAATAACCTCATCCACAACTACCAAACAAGACTCCAAGCTGTCAGATATTAAAGGGGGATTGCACGCTATTGAGATGGGGGATGGAGACTCCTGATTAGAGTTTCTAAAATGCAAAATGCCATTTGACTATAAATGCCTTCACACCACCACCCTCAACAAGTGAAACCTTTTAGAGTTATCAGAAATATGAAAAAAAAAATGTAAAGATGACACTCGTCTAGGTTGTGATTCACAGCAAGAAGGTCTATAGGTTTGAATCCACCTCCGGACGGGTCCCCTCTGTGTTGACTTGCATGTTCTTGTAGTGTCTTGTAGTGATTATAAGGCGCATTATCAAATTAGACTTTGACTGGTCAAAGCATAATTTGATGGGTTATAAGGTGCATGAATTATTTGCTGGTTTACCTGTAAAGAAAGACACAATACAGTAAGTAAAACAAAACCACCAGATCATCGGGTAAAGCATGACTCAATTTAATTAATGGTTTAAACTCTATAACTTGAATACCTTAACATGTTTCAGTAGTAATATTCAAACAAACACAACTTGGTTATGAAAAGGAAATAATTATTCAATACAAAACAATCTATGCTATCGGCATGATTGCTATTAACATCCTCAACTGTGTCACCGATAGCTTATCTTATAATCCGTTTCCTATGCATTTCTCTTCATAGGGGCAAATGTAACTGTATTTTCTGTTTTTTTTTTCCACACAGTTAGTGCTATTTTATTCCTTAACTCATTGTATTGAGAAATATTAAATAAAGCTTAGTGTCAAGGACTGGACTTAAGCACTTTGATGCGAATAACTGTATATTATAATGTATATACTCTGTAGCCTATATTCACAAAATACGATAAGATATACTTTATTGTGTGCCTTGGCTCAAAAAAGGTTGAAAAACACTGGTTTAAAGGAGCAACCCACTTTTAATGTGCGGACCACCACATTTCTTGCGGTGAGAAACGCAAGAAATGTTTTCTTGCGTTTTTCCCCACGTACCCTTCTTGAGTAAAGGGTCCCGGGTTATTCTATGAAGTAAGAATAAATGTCTCGCTCATCGGTGCCAAGACAGAGGCGACCAATGTTTGTAGTCATCTCAGGTCTCATATGGGCTTTTTTTCAGTTCGGTCTCATATACTTATTTTTAGCTTGTCTTTATATCTCCTCTGATCTTCTTGCGTTAATGTGCTTCAGTATGTGCTGCTCTGTCTTCTTGCGAGTGGCGCATACGCACACGGATGTAAACAAAAAGTTATTAGTGGGAGTCGTGAAGTAAGTTATGCTGGGCTCGAACCCACGACCTTCAGGCTCTAAGTCCAATGCTCTACCAACTGAGTCACTGTCGCTCCTATTTATCGGCACCTAATAGTGCGAAAAATACGGTTGGTTTTACCACTAAAACATTTAGATTAGTGCTGACATGGGACCCTTCTATGACCCTGACAAACAATTATTTTGATAATCACTTTGTTGTAAAGAGTTTTAATTTCACTGATTGGGTATTTCATGACACTAAAGAGTTGCATAATACACATGATAGACCAAGGACTACAGACATAATGGGACAAAAGGTAGGACAAGGGTAATGGCAGAGACCCAACAAACGGCTTCTTAGAGATATTTCACCCCCATTGGTGGTCTAAGAATAAAAGTGGTGTAGTGTTCCACCAGAAAGACCCAAGAGTTGATGAAATTTAAGAAAGGAGGAAGGACAGTCAAGATGCTCTTCATATTTACAGTTTAGTAAGCGCTGGGTGTTGCTATCAGATTCACTAATCGTCCGTACAGGCAGCAACGGGTCACAGTTGGGGGCGTGCTTTATATCGGTTGCACTGTTTGTTTTGCGATTATCACTTTTTTTGGGACTTGATTGGTTTAAACAGTCACGTTAGTTGTCACGTTAGTTGGTAGCCTAACTGATTCTTTAGCTGGGAGTGACGCTTGAGTGTAAGCTATTGCTAACAAAAATCTTGCTGCATTTTCAAAACTATGGTTTAGACGGTTAATTTATATATTCAAGGATACAACAGTGGATTTCAGTTGTTGAAATCCAAATGACAAAAAAATTTGCACTGGAGGACATTCTACTAGATAATATTTAGCCAAAATGATTGAATTACTACTTGGTTTTGGGTCTTAAAATGACATCTCACAGCACTTAGTGTGTTGTAATCAATCAATAATCAATTACTAAAATGTATGAAGACATTCTTAAATGTGATTAATCATTACAGCTCTAAATTGCTGTCTTTGGGATTTCTGCGATTTCAGTGCGACTGTGATGAATGGTGCAGCCCGAGAATTTAATTGATGTCAGGATCAATCCACATGTGTTTCATTGTGTAACGCAGCAAGACAAACTGTAATTACACAAGTCTTTGCGATGACAAGACTCATGTAGGGATGATTAAAAGCACATTGTACTTCTCAGTGGTGTGGACCCAGACATATGGATTTGTGTTGTGCCTTTCAGGAGCTGGAGGAGAATTACCAGAGGGCGTACTCGGAAGCTCTGGCTGCTTTTGGGAATGGAGCGCTGTTTATCGAGAAGTTTATTGAAAAACCCAGACACATTGAAGTCCAAATTCTGGGTAAGAGCCTTTAGACACTTGCATTTTGACTGTCCCTTTTGCTGCGATCGAAGCTGTGTTCATTAGGACTCCGCGCAGCCGTGCGGAGGCGACGACAGACAAATGAAGTGGTGCGAATGAGAGCCACAGGCCGACAGACCATTATTTCATATCATTATAGTCAATGTTCAACTACAGCTGTCTTAAGGGTAAAACAAAAGAGTCTGCCTGTGTAAAGCTTGTCCCCCATTTATAACTTTATATTATTTTGCCTCTAGGAAAAGGGCATGCAGACACTAGGTCCCTGAGGCCGCGTTCACACATGTCTGTCTGGTTCAGTTTAGTTGGACCAAGGTCCCGTTTAGATAGACGCTGCACAGACGTTGCAAAGCAATCAACAGAAACTACCAGAAGAGGATGTAATTCTAGAGGCCAGCCAGTAGTGGGCAGAGGAACTTTACAACACATCACACGCAAGCCCCAGCCCCCCCAGAAGTATATTTTCTTCCTCTACATCATCTTCCTCAGGCCGCCGCAAACACGTGGCGGCCTCTTTCTGCATTTAACAGCATCTGCGAAAATGGAAACTGAAACGACAGTAAATGTATAGGTGTTTTTACCCCAAGTGAAAAAATATAGGCAATAAACTTTTCTCATGATGTTAGGAAAAGTAAAATGTTGTGACTAAATCAGACCACATGCTACCTATCCTCATGTTGTCTATCTAAGAAAGAGCCCCTTGAGTCACTATTAGGCGCTTTGGGCTTACTGAGGGTGGTCCTGTCTTTTTCACTTTTCTTTGTGTTTTTAATTACATGGATTTTAATACATCGTTTTAAAATATGTTTTCGTTTGACAGTTTTGCTACCCCAGACCAGACCTATACTTGCAACTTTTCAGATAGAGTCCGCTGTTCACTCATTATCAAAAATCTGAATTTCTGTCATTTCACGTGACATGACCTCATGACATGACACTGTTCTGTTTTCTTTAGGTGACAAATATGGGAATGTCGTTCACCTTTATGAGAGGGACTGCTCCATCCAGCGCAGGCACCAAAAGGTAAAAATGACCTCTTCAGGTGAAACTCATTAAATACAAAGAAAAACATTGCTAACTTACAATTTGCCCCTTCTAGTAAGTAAGGAGCAAATAACTTAATACTAAATATAAATAATAATGTCTATATCAGTTTCTTCTGTTTTAACGATTGCAATTCTTTGGATCACTTTTTTTTTTTTCAGCGTTATGCTAATTAGTTAAAGCCGCAGGCACGTACAAAGGTCATCCGCGATCGTTCCACCTGCGAGCAATCCCCATTCCCCTGTGTCTCTCCCTTTTTTATTTTCACTAAAAGACCAATTAGCAGCATTAATAAATAAAGGGATTATGGCTGATGGTGGTCAGACCTGTGATAGTCATGACTATCCGCTTCAGCTGGGAGTAATCGGATTACCCCTCAAAAAAAGAGAACAAAAAAATGCTGTATGAATAGACTCCTCGGCCATGCAGAGCAATTGTCAACCAAATACTGTTATTTCACTTTTTTGAGCTTTTTAACCATTGCAAAAACAGACCTGGACTTTATTTTGAACCCATCAACGCAAATGTGCTACTCTTCCCTTTCCATCTAAAATCTCCTTAGTATGATCTTCACTGTGACACAATATGTCCATACGTGACTTTGGCAACTTCTCAGGTGAATTTGTGTTCTTTACAATGATAGGCCAGACCAGACCAGAGCTCAGGCCAGACCAGACAAGAGCTCAGGCGAGAGCTCAGGCCAGACCAGACGAGAGCTCAGGCCAGACCAGACGAGAGCTCAGGCCAGACCAGACGAGAGCTCAGGCCAGACCAGACGAGAGCTCAGGCCAGACCAGACGAGAGCTCAGGCCAGACCAGACGAGAGCTCAGGCCAGACCAGACGAGAGCTCAGGCCAGACCAGACGAGAGCTCAGGCCAGACCAGACGAGAGCTCAGGCCAGACCAGACGAGAGCTCAGGCCAGACCAGACGAGAGCTCAGGCCAGACCAGACGAGAGCTCAGGCCAGACCAGACGAGAGCTCAGGCCAGACCAGACGAGAGCTCAGGCCAGACCAGACGAGAGCTCAGGCCAGACCAGACGAGAGCTCAGGCCAGACCAGACGAGAGCTCAGGCCAGACCAGACGAGAGCTCAGGCCAGACCAGACGAGAGCTCAGGCCAGACCAGACGAGAGCTCAGGCCAGACCAGACGAGAGCTCAGGCCAGACCAGACGAGAGCTCAGGCCAGACCAGACGAGAGCTCAGGCCAGACCAGACGAGAGCTCAGGCCAGACCAGACGAGAGCTCAGGCCAGACCAGACGAGAGCTCAGGCCAGACCAGACGAGAGCTCAGGCCAGACCAGACGAGAGCTCAGGCCAGACCAGACGAGAGCTCAGGCCAGACCAGACGAGAGCTCAGGCCAGACCAGACGAGAGCTCAGGCCAGACCAGACGAGAGCTCAGGCCAGACCAGACGAGAGCTCAGGCCAGACCAGACGAGAGCTCAGGCCAGACCAGACGAGAGCTCAGGCCAGACCAGACGAGAGCTCAGGCCAGACCAGACGAGAGCTCAGGCCAGACCAGACGAGAGCTCAGGCCAGACCAGACGAGAGCTCAGGCCAGACCAGACGAGAGCTCAGGCCAGACCAGACGAGAGCTCAGGCCAGACCAGACGAGAGCTCAGGCCAGACCAGACGAGAGCTCAGGCCAGACCAGACGAGAGCTCAGGCCAGACCAGACGAGAGCTCAGGCCAGACCAGACGAGAGCTCAGGCCAGACCAGACGAGAGCTCAGGCCAGACCAGACGAGAGCTCAGGCCAGACCAGACGAGAGCTCAGGCCAGACCAGACGAGAGCTCAGGCCAGACCAGACGAGAGCTCAGGCCAGACCAGACGAGAGCTCAGGCCAGACCAGACGAGAGCTCAGGCCAGACCAGACGAGAGCTCAGGCCAGACCAGACGAGAGCTCAGGCCAGACCAGACGAGAGCTCAGGCCAGACCAGACGAGAGCTCAGGCCAGACCAGACGAGAGCTCAGGCCAGACCAGACGAGAGCTCAGGCCAGACCAGACGAGAGCTCAGGCCAGACCAGACGAGAGCTCAGGCCAGACCAGACGAGAGCTCAGGCCAGACCAGACGAGAGCTCAGGCCAGACCAGACGAGAGCTCAGGCCAGACCAGACGAGAGCTCAGGCCAGACCAGACGAGAGCTCAGGCCAGACCAGACGAGAGCTCAGGCCAGACCAGACGAGAGCTCAGGCCAGACCAGACGAGAGCTCAGGCCAGACCAGACGAGAGCTCAGGCCAGACCAGACGAGAGCTCAGGCCAGACCAGACCAGAGCTCAGGCCAGACCAGACCAGAGCTCAGGCCAGACCAGACCAGAGCTCAGGCCAGACCAGACCAGAGCTCAGGCCAGACCAGACCAGACCAGACCCGCTCAGGCCAGACCAGACCAGACCAGACCCGCTCAGGCCAGACCAGACCAGACCAGACCCGCTCAGGCCAGACCAGACCAGACCAGACCCGCTCAGGCCAGACCAGACCAGACCAGACCCGCTCAGGCCAGACCAGACCAGACCCGCTCAGGCCAGACCCGCTCAGGCCAGACCAGACCAGACCCGCTCAGGCCAGACCACAGCTCAGGCCAGACCCAGTCCAAATGTAATTTTAAAAAGAAAATATTAGTTTTACAAGGTGTTCCACCTCCATTATCAGACTAAAATTATTCAAGCCACGTTGCAAAGGTTTTTATTTCTCCAAAGCCACAACAGCGGTCTCATCTCGAGGCTCCATCGAATGGAACACCCAGTTCTGTGTGATGATATTGTTGTACTCAAAATATTGTGACTCTGAAAGTCAGAATGTTATAACTTATGATCAAAATATTTGTACTCTGAAAGTCAGAAATTTCAGAAATCTGTATAATGGCTTGACAATGAACTCGAATATGGAGTCGACAATTCAAATCTGATTTAAATGAATTACTTGCGTCACTTGTCTCTGACTTAGACGGTCTGCAAAATTCCATCATAAAAAATGTATAGGCTTTAATTTTTATATTATAAATTGCACTTAAAGTTCATTTTATTTAAAAAAAAATGCTCACAACTTGAGTACTATTTCTTATTTAAACACTCCGGCACTCACATTGAACTGTAGGTCGTCACTTTCTTATTTTAAAATGTGCTGTATCATCTGTTGCGGCTAATGGTTTTATCAAAGACACTGATTAGTATGATATTTAATTATGCGGCAAAGCACTTTTCAATCTTGTATTTTCATCACTTGGCTCCTTTTAATCAAATTACAGTTTCTAATCCTATCTGTGTCAGAGGCTGGTTTCTTTCTTCTTAATCTGCCTCTGCTCCCAATATCAGATCTGTGAGCGCCGAGGGGAGTGGTTTTTCAAACTACTTGTGGGATTTGGGGAGTCAACAAAATGTCTGGGTTTCTTTCCACTTTTCCGTCCCTTTTCCAATGTTGCATTTTTCCATTTAGATAAGGGTTACTCATCATAACTTTTCCTAAATACTTTGGAATATGTATGCCCAGTGACGTGCGGGGAGGTTGGTGATTGGCTTCCTCCCGCTCAGATTTACATATATATCAACAGAACCTACAAAGCAGCTTACTAAGTTTGCCAGGCAACAGCAGAATATGTTGTTTGTAAAATAAATATGTTTGAACTTTATAAACCGTGATAAACGGTTTGAGGTAAAAATATATGAAATAAGGGTATGACAAAGTAACATTGAAATAATACAATAGCACGAATCATGTGGTAAATGGTGACAAAGTATTACGGTTTCTATTTTTTCTTTCCAGGATTTACACCTGCAATCATCTACAGTGCCTTGCGAAAGTATTCGGCCCCCTTTAACCTTTCAACATTTCGCCACATTTCAGGCTTCAAATATAAAGATATGAAAATATTTTTTTTTGTCAAGAATCAACAAGTGGGACACCAACGGGAAGTGGAACAAAATTTAAACTTAAAAAAAAAAAATAACACTGAAAAGTGGGGCGTGCAATATTATTCGGCCCCCTTGCGCTAATACTTTGTAGCGCCACCTTTTGCTGCAATTACAGCTGCAAGTCGCTTGGGGTATGTCTCTATCAGTTTTGCGAGAGACTGGAATTCTTGCCCATTCTTCCTTGCAAAACAGCTCAAGCTCAGTGAGGTTGGATGGAGAGCGTTTGTGAACAGCAGTCTTCAGCTCTTTCCACAGATTCTCTATTGGATTCAGGTCTGGACTTTGGCTTGGCCATTCTAACACCTGGATACGTCTATTTGTGAACCATTCCATTGTAGATTTGGCTTTATGTTTTGGATCATTGTCCTGTTGGAAGATAAATCTCCGTCCCAGTCTCAGGTCTTTTGCAGACTCCAACAGGTTTTCTTCCAGAATGGTCCTGTATTTGGCTCCATCCATCTTCCCATCAATTTTAGCCATCTTCCCTGTCCCTGCTGAAGAAAAGCAGGCCCAAACCATGATGCTGCCACCACCATGTTTGACAGTGGGGATGGTGTGTTCAGGGTGATGAGCTGTGTTGCTTTTACGCCAAACATACCGTTTTGCATTGTGTGCCAAAAAGTTCGATTTTGGTTTCATCTGACCAGAGCACCTTCTTCCACATGTTTGGTGTGTCTCCCAGGTGGCTTGTGGCAAACTTTAAACAAGACTTTTTATGGATATCTTTGAGAAATGGCTTTCTTCTAGCCACTCTTCCATAAAGGCCAGAATTGTGCAGTGCACGACTGATTGTTGTCCTATGGACAGACCCTCCCACCTCAGCTGTAGTTATCTGCAGTTCATCCAGAGTGATCATGGGCCTCTTGTCTGCATCTCTGATCAGTCTTCTCCTTGTTTGAGATGAAAGTTTGGAGGAACGGCCGGGTCTTGGTAGATTTGCAGTGGTCTGATACTCCTTCCATTTCAATATAGTTGCTTGCACGGTGCTCCTTGAGATGTTTAAAGCTTGGGAAATCTTTTTGTATCCAAATCCGGCTTTAAACTTCTCCACAACAGTATCTCGGACCTGCCTGGTGTGTTCCTTTGTCTTCATGGTTCTCTGCGCTTTAAACAGAACCCTGAGACTATCAAAGAGCAGGTGCATTTATACGGAGACTTGATTACACACAGGTACATTCTATTTATCATCATCAGTCATTTAGGACAACATTGGATCATTCAAAGATCCTCACTAAACTTCTGGAGTGAGTTTGCTGCACTGAAAGTAAAGGGGCCGAATAATATTGCACGCCCCACTTTTCAGTTTATTTGTTAAAAAAGTTTAAATTATCCAATAAATTTCGTTCCACTTCACGATTGTGTCCCACTTGTTGCTGATTCATGACCAAAAATTTAAATGTTATATCTTTATGTTTGAAGCCTGAAATGTTGAAAGGTTCAAGGGGGCCGAATATGCCAAATGTCAATAAATCCATGATCAGTTTGAATATTAAATGCAATGTTAAAGCTGCAGAGTATATAGAGACAGACATCAGAAAAGTCTTTCTTTGGTCTGAGAGTTAAAACCAAGTAAAATTGGATTCGGCTCTAAACTAATTACCATGTGTAAAACTATCTACTGCTTATATCAAGATTTCACACTGAGTTCAAATTTAATTTATATACATTTGGAACAAGCTATCTAACGTGAAGTGAACATGAATATAGGAATATCTTGTTGACAGCCTGCTAATATACATTTCTATCTCTAAAATAGGATTTGGACCTGGATCTTTTAGTTTTGTTGTAAATGTTTGTTTTTTTGAAGGTTGTGGAGATCGCACCGGCTTTTCAACTGCCCCCAAACCTGAGGGCACGCCTTCACGCAGACGCCATTAGCCTCGCCAAACTGGTAGGATCATACCACTGTTTTACTTCTGTGCATGTTTATTATAGTGGACTTTTGTGTCATTTAAAGAGTTTATTAATTACTCACTTTTAATGTAACAAAGATGCTACTACTCTTGAAATAAGGGTATGAGGATCGGTTCCATTAGGAAATGTTGTTTTAATAATATTTAAGACTGAATATTTGGAAAAAGTTGTGAAGGCTACTGGATGGTTTTAAGATGGTGGTTTTGAGCCAGATAGAAATAGTAATGCTTGAATGAATAAATCTGGAATTAGCTGATAAATACATGAGAAATGTCTTTATATCCAGTAGGATTGGTATGCAGGTTCAGAGCATATAATGGGCCAATTTCGTGCTCGTGAAAATGATTATATTTTATATTAAAGGAGCTATACCCGTTTCTGCAAGGTTTGAATGTTTAGCACCGCCCAACTCGCTCACGGGCTTCTCATTGCCCCTACGCTGTCCTCCCACGGAGCCCTCTAGGTTTATTTGCGATCTGATACGTATGCTAACATTAGCATTCGCGCAACGTCTTGTAAGCTGTACAACAATCACTGATGAAATGGTACAAAAGCAACGCTAACAAAATATATAACTGAAAGGTTACAGCTAGTTTTGCATCCAAATGTAGTCTGAGGCGGCCCCGCAGGTGTCTCCCATAGACTCTCCAGAGGATACGATGTAAGCTAGCTATGTTCACCCGGGCTTGGTATCTTCTTAGTTCATTTTTTCGCTTTAGTTCCCTCTTTTCTTCCTCCTCGTTTCGTCGTTTGGACTGTTTAGCTGTGTATGCAGTTACAGCAAGAGGAGTTACAGCCAATTCTGCTAACATGCTACTGTGTTTAGCAGCGCTGTAGAAGCTAGAGGACGCAGCCTCCACTTTTTATGGCCTGAATTCATACACAAGCTGAATCAATAAGCTCAAGTTTTCAATTAAATTATGTATTATGAATTTATGAGAAAACTTAACTTCTTTAACTGCTGTCCTTTGTTGTACAGCGAGGCGATTTTCCGTAAAAATAACTCATTGTTTCAAATTGATCCCCCCTCTCTCGTATAAAATAATTTAACTCTGTTCTAGTATATGTATATACTTAAGGCTTTTTTTCATGTGCATGTACAATATATTTCGCATGCATAGCAATTTAAAGCTGCACTAACTGACTTTAATTTTGTATTCATTACGAAAATGCTATCCATATCCATGCAGTGCATTGGGATATACGTCCTTTTGAAGAATAAGTAGCGCAGGGTCGTGCTGGTGTGACGTTATATTTTAGATCAAGTTTTGATGAAACAAGGAAGAGAATGTGTTTCGGGTCGCAGATTGTGACCAATCACAGCGCACCACTAGCCCCCACTTTCGTGCGAAATCTACAGGTCCGTTGTTAGCACAGACAGCTGAGTTAGCGGAGCTAACCTGGAGCTAACCTGAAGCTTCCGTGTCTTTGTCACTGGTTACTGCTTACACAGCAAAACAGCCATCCAAAAGAAATTCCTGTTCCTCCGCACTTCCCGGTTCTATTGTTCTATGGTCACGCCATCCATGTTGAAATCCATTACGGGAGACGCTAGCTCCGTAAACAACAGTGCGTGTGCGGTAGCGGGGGGCGATAGCTTCGTGGGTGCGGGGAGGGGAGGAGAAAGAGCGAGGCCAGCGAGTCCGCTGCTTCAAAATCCCAAAGTCAGTTAGTGCAGCTTTAATTCAACATCTGGCTGTAACTTTGTAACCCAAACTGTAAGACAATGGTTTGTGCTCAATGCTGGGTGCTGCAATGGTGATGGCTCAGATGGAGTGCTATGGAACCTATAAATTAACATTAATGTAGTAGTATGAACTGATGCTATGTTGCACTTAACATATTCCATATTTTAGCTCAGGCGAGACCAGACCAGACCAGACCAATTGAGTACAGTAATCTCACGGTCAGTAAACCATTTACCAGTGGTTTTGGCACTGTGAGCAGGTGCCAAGTCGTTCTGAAAAAGGAATTCTTCATCTCCATAAATCTTTTCAGCAGATGGAAGCATGAAGTGCTCCAAAATCTCCTGATAGCCAGCTGCATTGACCCTGCCCTTTATAAAACACAGTGGACCACCACCAGCAGCTGACATGACACCCCAGACCATCACTGACTGTAGGTACTTGACAATGGACTTCAGGCATTTTGGAATTTCCTTCTCCCCAGTCTTCCTCCACACTCTGGCACCTTGATTTCATCCGAAAAAAGTACTTTGGACCATTGAGCAACAGTCCAGTGCTGCTTCTCTGTAGCTCAGGTCAGGCGCTTCGGCCGCTGTTTCTGGTTGTGGTTTCTGTAGCCCATTTCCTGCACACGCCTGTGCACGATGGCTGTGGATGTTTCTGCTCCAGACTCAGTCCACTGCTTCCGCAAGTCCCCCAAGGTCTGGAATCGGCCCTTCTCCACCATGCTCCTCAAGGTCCGGTCACCTCTTGGGGTTGTGCAGCGTTTTCTGCCACACTTTTTCCTTCCCACAGACTTCCCACTGAGGGATTATATATATGTAAGGTGAGAAAAAGGGCAACCAGTCGGGCGTGAATAGCAGCCCCTTTTCGTAAACATGCCCCTCCCGAGCTCCTGAGACTTCAAAAGAAACTACGAGTTCAATGGAAGGCTAACATGTGCCAGGACACTGCAAGAAGAGCCAAAGGGGCCATAAAAACAGCAGAACAAACATCTGTGTGCCCTTCTGCCTGACAGAGATCAGGTATCATTCACCCACTATCGCTCATGGGACATTCCACAGCCCGAGACTCACCCACGGCGTTCTGGCGCCCCCCAGTGGACACTGAACACTATCACACCCGGCACGGACACTGTGTAGACCAGCTCCGGACTCAGGTTATCCCAATAAGTCTGTACCGTGCCCTACATGTGTGTATCATTGTCGAGTAATGAAATGCGGTGTGTGTTTGTACATGGTTGTGATCGTCTGTATTAATCCTGCGTGGTTCTCTTGTAAACTGTCTGTTGTGAGAGGGTTGTCCTGAGAAGACGCACATGGATGACATCAAGGACGCGCCCCCTTTTTGAAGTCAATATAAACACGCACAATGCAACAGAACTTCCTCTTGGTTCTTCCCGAAATCACTATTGCTACTATTCCTTTTGGTACGTGTCTCCTACACGGCCTACGCCCGCCACCATCTCGGGCCTGTACTTCCACTCCGGACACAGACCTCCTTCCTGGCTCGCATCGTGTGAACTATCCCACCACCAGCCTCTTTCCTGGCTCTGGACTCTACGCACGCAATTCACTCCGGACTGAGTTGTAAATGCACGGACCCAAAGCTGGACTGTATCGCTGGCTTCGTATCTCCCGCCTGCCCGGACAAAGAAACCACGTGGAGGAGAACATCGCCTCCATCCCATTCTCCATCATCATCCTTCCATCTCCATCCTCCCTAGCCCTCTTTTCATCACCCATCTCCTCGCACGGCTCAAAGTAAGACTGTTCCTTTGTTGGATGTGTGATTCAAATGAGATGTATACAACTTCTGTTTAATGTGACCAGAAATCCCTTTTGTTATATTTTCTATCTTCATTTTGTAGTCAATAAATTCACACTTTAACTCAATCATTTAAGCGTCGTGTTTTTTAAATCTCGGATATCACTGGCCGATTTACGCATTCACTACCTATTAGATTATAAGACTGACTCGAGGCAAAGTAGTTGGATCTGTGCAGAAGTAACTCTGCTGGTGCCCTAAAAATAAAAGCAGATCCTCACTTGTGTGCAACGGCGAGCCTCTGATCCGGAGACCCGCCGATCCACACTACCAAATTTATACTACAATAAGTTACAATAACATATTATTACCCTACATATACATATATGTATATGTGTATATATATGTATACATATATATAATATATATATATATAAATATATATATATAATGTATACATATATATAATATTTATATGTTATTGTAAACATTGAACCCAAAGCACAGCCAGGACTAGTTTGATAAAATATAGAATATGTTAAGTGGAGTGTTTGTAAAAGGTGCCCGTTCAAAAACCCAATGACATTCTGTGTTTGTTTAATTGGATTGTGCAAAACTGACTCTCTCACTGAACATTTCAACGAAGTGTTGTCAACCAACAAACCGGCTAAATGAAAAGTCTATTTGCAAATGGTTCTAACAGGATGTCAACAACGTGAGAGAAAACGGCACTTTCAAAAATGACTGTTTGAACAGATCTCGGGGCACGGTTTGTAGATAACTGGACATTGGCGTTGCTGATGGAGCTAAAAGTGCAACAAAAGTTATAACTCTCTTAAAAAAAACTATTTGTTATTTTGGAAATATTGGTTTTTACATTTACTACCCCAACCCCCCCCCCCCCCCCCCCCCCCCCCCCCCCCCCCATTGGCACCTGGTGTTCCCAGAGGTCTCCTATCATAGTACTAACCAGGGCCTGTCCGGTCTGACGGGATCTGGTTTTCACATGCATGTGTGGCCACTTCTTCTGATACTATTGCTACTGCTGCTACTACTACTACTACTACTACTGCTGCCATTACTGCTACTCTTACTAATGATAATACTCCTGCTTTTACTGCTACTCTTACTAATTATAATACTGCTACTGCTGCTTCTATTCAACAAAAAATTTAGTTTGATAGTGTCTAACCTAAGACCTCATCCTGCCTCTTCTAAAATGCAGTGTTTTAAACCTGGCCTTGTCTCCAAGGAGTAGTTCTGTAATGCTCTTTGTGGTAATGGAGCTGCTGAAGGAGAGCAATGATGAACAGAGATTTGCTACTGGAATGACCTTCATGTTGGACTGTTATGCACAGGCTAAAAATCTGTCTACTTTTTACATATATTAGGATTTAGTAGGAATAATGCTGCCATGGGGAACACTGACAGAAGTGAAGCAACCAGTATATGCCATCAACCCCTCAAACAATTTACGTCCACTCTCATTCTAGGCCCTGCCCTGTTTGGCTACAAAGGTCTGAAG